AATTTTGACAACCAACCATATAGAGCCCTATAACCCCATCAAGGGTCATGGGGGGGGTTGCTGTAAACCCCCCAAAGACCGGCTTTCGCCTTTAAGATTTAGGCATTACGGTTTGAGGTTTACTACTCGTTGCTTAAGAACACTGAAAAAATGCAAAATAATAATCCCTATATTACCCTTATGAGGAAGAATATCTCTATTTTTTCGGGTGGTTCTTAGGCAAGTAGCAGTTTAGGCTTTAAGGTTCACGCTTGAGGGCTTGGGGGTTCAGAGTTTTAGCTTGGGGGGGGGAGAGGGGTTACTTGCAGGCTCAGACCTCCTGGAAAGCTGGGTTGGTCTTTAAGATATTGAGCTCTTTTCGCTGGTTGGGGCGTCAATCTCATAATTGGGGTTCCCCTGCGCGTCGAGCGTCTAGGTAGACCTGAAAACCACCAAACTCTCAAAGCTCAAAAGAAACCCTCGGCCCTCCACGCTGAAGATTTGGAGTTTAAGGTTCAGGGTGAAGGAAAAACCTGAACCCGAAGCCCTAAACCCTAAATCCTCACACCTCAAGGGTCATTTCACTGGTTGTTAACAATAAATGGAGAGTTGGATGCCTGCTGTAGCCCTTACATGCAATCCCCCAGAATATGATGGATCCATATAATAGCCTCAATATACATGCCACTAATATAACACAATTTCCATGCTGCAGCTCCTGAACCCTCAGCGTAAACCCTGAACTGCTTAAACCCTAAGTCAATGCCCCAGGCACAGATCGCCCGTAGCGGGAGGAGATAAGAACCAGGACACCACCAGGCCTCGCGATGATCCGCTCTCTCAGGAAAAGGATTTAGGGCTTGGGGTTTAGGGTTTAAGGCTTAGAGTCTAGGCTGTTCGGGGGCTCAAGGTCTACGATTTAGTAACCCTGCCTCGTCCACGTCAACTGAGACTTGTAAACCTACAACTCCCATAGCAACAGCCTCCCAGGGTTTAGGCTGTTAAGGGGCTGATAGAATGTTTCTGGGAGAGGCTTGCAAAGGCATTATACAAGCTTGCAAGTTACCAGTACCAGCAGGGATTAGGGTTTCAGACATGTTCCATTCTGTAGTGGACGACGGGATGCTTGTGGGTTTTTTGGGGGCTCCCGCTTGTCTGCCACAAGATGCATGCTACTCAAGGCGCCAAACCTCTTCATGGAATGAGCCTTAAGCCATATGAGGAATTCCACAAACACTTAGAGTACATTGCTTAATTGAGAGGTCTTTCGTCTCTCTAGGTACATAGGCATGGAAAGGAATAATAAGTACAGGGAACACAACTAACATAACAACAATCATGCTGGCATAATAGACCATATAAGACGAACAATTACCACGCACTAATGACACTACTGCCCCTACACAAGGTCGTAGTACAAGCCCTATAAGCCCCCTGAAGAGCCCTATAGGCTACTATAAGCCCCTAAACTCTAAACCCTAAACCCCAAACTCTAAACCGTAAACCCTTTAACCCCTAAACCCTAGACCCCTAAACCCTAAACCCTAAACCCTAAGACCCTGAACCCTAAACCCCGAAACCCTAAAACTCTAAACCCTTCAACCCTGGGCCCCCTGGCTTCAGCAGCGGGACCGCGTGGCGCAAGGCTCGCGCGGTGCCAAGGACGTTCACGTCCTCAGTCGCTGTTGGGTTACACTCCTGGAAACTAACATGGAAACCAAAAAGGGGCCCTATAAAGACTATAGTCCCTCTACAATGGGGCTATATGGGTTTCCATGTTAGTTTGGGGGAGTGTATGTCCTAGTAATGGAAACTCAAGCGGGAAGCGAAATAGAAACTTTTGCAGAGTTTGGGAGTTTAGGGCCTCGCCTTTGGGGGTTTCTAGGTTCAGGCTGTCAGGTTTAGGGTTTGGGGTTCAGGGTTTTGCGGCTTAAGGTCTGGGGTATATGGTAGTTTCCCAAAATAAGGGGACCCCAATCTAGACCCCAAGATACTATAATCTTCAGTATGGGGACTCCAAAAAAATGGTACCCACAAATTTAGGAAAACCCTCCTAAACCCTAAACAGTAAACCCTAAACCCCTAAACCCTAAACCAGTAAACCCTAAACCCCTATACCCTAAACCCTAAAACCTAAACCCTATTCCCTACCCCCTAAATAACTTGAGGTTTAAGGCCAAGGTTATAGTTTAGGCTGCTCTCGCAGGTGGTCCCTTCCAGGCCCACCAAGGAGGAACTGGAGAGGGTTAGTACCACAATGGGTAGATAAGGGCTTATGTCTTAGGGTTTAGGGGTCTAGGGCTTAAGGGTTAGGGTTTAGGGTTTAGGGCTTAGGGAAGTCTACGAAGCCGTGCGCAGCCTTACTCCTCAAATATGAGCCGTAGTCTAAGCTCCTAATATCCCCCTTAAGAACCCCTGTAGTACCCCCTATCATATAATCACCTATAGAACCCCTTGAAGGAGTTCAGATTATGGCTCAAAAAGTGGGCAGGTCTTCCATGCCCGAGCTCCAGGCGTGAACCCTCTGCCACTCTTCCGCGGATGTTTCGCAGATGCCTCGGAGGGGAGAGAGCTGAACAATAGTCAATCAACAATAATACTAGGAGTCGTAATAGTATTGATAACACAGATATGGCAACAGTAGTAGTAGTAGTAGTAGTAGTAGTAGTGGTGGTGATCGTAACAGTGAAGGTAATAGCGGCAATAATACGAAGAATAGCGATAGTAAGAGCATGTAATAATGAGTCAGGTGTCTCATTGTCTGCGAGAAGGCGCAGCACGCTAAGCACGTCCTGCCTATGAAGATTTGGTAGTTTCCATAAATAGGGGGAACCCAATATAAGCCCCACCAAAATATTGTAATCACTGTAGTTCTTTTTATGGGGAGCCGCAAATGGTACCCCTCATTTTGGGAAACCCCTATTTCTCCAAAACGGATCTCAAGGATAGGCCGCAGGCAGTTGACGAGGCTAGCGGGTTCCCTGCCTAGAATGTGCAGTGTGGGGTTTAGGACGGCACCCACATCTGCAGAAGTTGAACTGAGTTTTCCTAACAACGAAACCTCGAATCCTAAACCCCAAGCTCTGAAACACCCCCAAAATCCCAAACGTTCCTTTTGTTAAACCATACCCCTGAGAATCCTTCCTCGACCCTGACCGCAGAGCCTTGGGAGAAAGACACTGCCCTGGCTAAGTCTGCGCACACAGGGGATGAGAGATGGTTTGCACATATTTGCCGTTCTTCAGGATGCTCACCAATTTTTAGCGGTCTGAGGGCTCCCATGTCCACTTCCCAAGCTTGCCTCTGCACTCAACAGCTGCGTGAATTTGATGGAGCGTCCCACCAGGTTCACCGACACTCCTGTGTAGGTGTGTGTGGAGGTATACTTCGTCTCGTCCACAAAACTCATGGATACCCAACTACCCCCCCCCGGTACTACCGCTCCCCTTAGCTCCCCCTTAATTAAGGCTATGTGAAGAAACTATTTAAGGCTAGTGAACCCTTGTAGAGGCTGATCAAGGTTAATTCAGGGGTAATTTGAGGAACGTAATATAAGCGGGTAGGGTGGAGTAGCAGGGGTTCCCCTTACTTCAGGCTATTTGAAGATAGTTAAAACTCATGAAAAAATTCAGTTAGGGTAACCTGAGGGAGCGGGAGTAGAGGGCGGTAGTGAGGGGGGAATCCATAAACCCTAAACCCATGAAACACAGGAAGGCCTGCAAGTCAGCCTTCTCTAACTGCTCCTCCAACGCTAATCATCCGAGCAACACAACAATAAAAGGGACCATATTCAGAGAAAACTTTTTGGGTAGAATTATAGGCCCCAAAGACTACCTACAATTAGGTGGCTTTTCGTATGGGGAAAGTGGCTAGATTTAAAGAACATTTTTGGATCCTGATAATAGAGATATTCAATACATTCATATTCATTTTCTAAT